TATGGCTTGTTTGGCATCCACACCCAATCCCTGGATCATTGACTCTGGAGCCTCCGATCACATGACTGGAACTCCAGGTGTGTTTTCTTCCCTATTTCATTGCTTAACATCACAATCTGGTTCCACATCCTCAATTTGTGGGGTTGGTAATGTTGACCTAGACCTTGTATCCCTATCCTCAGTTTTGTATGTTCATACATTGCCTTTTAATCTTATGTCTGTTAGTAAGTTGACCAAATCACTTAATTGCTCCATTACTTTTTATCCTTCTGTGTGTTTTTCAGGATCTCAAGACGGGGATGAAGATTGGTGGAGGGCATGAAGTTGGTGGACTGTATTACCTTAACGGTGGTGGAAAAACTTCAATAGCTCTCCAGTCATCCCTTTCTCCTCTCCAGTGGCACTGTCGATTTGGTCGTCTGTCGCTGAAAGTTTTGAAGTCTTTGGTTCCGTCTTTGAGTCAACTTTCTGTTTTGGATTGTGAGTTGTGTCAGTTTGGGAAACACCATCGTGTTCCCTTTAGTTCTAGGGTTGATAACCGTGTGTCGAGTCCTTTTTCTTTGATTCACTCCGGTGTTTGGGGTCCTTATAAAGTGATGTCATATAATGGGTATAGATATTTTGTCATTTTTGTAGATGATTTTTCAAGGATGATGTGGCTCTATCTAATGAAAGAAAGAAGTGAATTGTTTGCCATCTTTCAAAAATTTTATGCTGAGATTCGTAATCAATTTGGTATTCACATTAAAGTTTTATGTTCTGATAATGGCCGTGAATATTTATCCTCATCAAGAATACCTGGACCAACACGACATTATACATCAGACCTCATGTACCTACACCCCACAACAAAATGGGGTGGCTGAGAGAAAGAATCGCCATCTCTTGGAAACAACACGATCCCTCATGCATCACATGAATGTTCCCAAACCCTTTTGGAGTGATGTGGTGCTTACCTCTTGCTTTCTGATTAATCGGATGCCCACATCCATCCTTGATGGTCATTCTCCGTTTACGATCCTGTTTCCCGTCTTGTCTCCGTCTCCTCTTACTCCTAGGGTATTTGGGTGTGTTTGCTTCTTCCATAATCTAGGTCCTGGGAACAAGTTCGATGCCCGTTCTCTCAAGTGCATCTTCCTTGGTTATTTTCGGACCCAGAAAGGGTATAAGTGTT